GAGACAAGGGCAAAGGAGTAGCTCTTCTCCCTTCTGCTATGGTCCACATGGAACTCAGACCCCAAAGATTCATGTCTGCTCGGCACTGTTAAGACTGAGGCAGCTCTAGACCAACGAGGAGATCTGCTGGTGCTCTACGAACTTTGCTAAAATAAATGTACATGACTGTGGTGACAGGGAGGAGGTTGGGAAGTTCCAAATGTCTGGCATGCAGTGTAGCCCTTCAGCACCCAAGACCATGTGTACACCAAGTAGTTATTACAGTTTCCTAAGCTGAGCTGCTCAACTGATGGTGGCTGAGTCCTCCACATCCCTGGCCCTGGGAGGAATTCACACCCCAAGCACTGCATTAGTACAATTGCACAGCAGATAACAGCACCAGATTGGCTCTAGTCCTGCCATGTCCGTGCATTGGGTTTGCAGCACAGTGAGCTAAAAATAATCAATCTTTCCCAAACTGAGGAAAGATATTGCAGGTGAGGACCAACAGAGTGGGAGTTAAGTAGAAGGGGAAATAAAACATTTGAGAAAAGAGAAATGAAAACAACTTTCTCTATTGACACTTTTTAAACTAAAGACATAATTACCCTGTTGCAAGCCTTGACTACAGAGAAAAGCATCTTGTTAGGAACTAATTAAAGAATTAGTCAGTGTTTAGCTTCTCAGATAAAGGACCATAAGCTTCGAAACAGAAGTGTTTGCAATGAGCTTCTGAAAACTCTCTGAAGACAGCTGAGCTTAAGTCTGTTAAGCCTCTTCCTTCAACTATTAAATGTCTGTTCAGACATCTTTATTTTTTTTCTTCCTTTCTTTTATGTTGTTGTGAAAGAAGCCCCGGGTACCTCTTAACAACAGGCATTTTCTCCCTTGCTTGGAGTATGGGGTGGTGTGCTAACATGCATCACAGTGATCAGCACAGGGCATCCACTGAACCACTATAAAGGTGGACAGGTGTCAGAGATGTCACGAAGTACAGTATTTAGTAAATAAAAACAACCCACTGTTGCTGCATGTCACTCCTAGGTTACGTTCTGACCAGACCTTTACCAGGCACATCCACCTTGCCTAGCCTGCCTGTATCAGCACTCTATCCCTGACAGAGACAACCTCTGGGTGCTATAGGGGATACCCGGTCCAATTGTCCCCTAGCCTAACACTGTGAGAAACTTCATTTTCTCAATATTTACTTCAGCCACTGGATCTGTGCTTCTCCTAGTGCTCCAGACAGGGGCTTAGCTTTACCCTACGGATGCATTTGATGAGAGACAAGACGCAGCTGAGTTAAACAAATCAAAAGACAGCAATAATGCCATAGCACCAGTTTTATTTCCCACTTTCCGTTCTGCTGACTGACATGGAGCAATGCCATGTTGCAAAACAGCTCGCAGGGGATTAGGCAGGAGAGCTAGTGACTGCTGTGGTTTGTGGTTTATTTACTACAGTGCCTAAGCCTGCTCCGTCATGAGACCAGCGCTAGCAGGTTTTAGTTATATCACAAGTGGATGCTATACTTCTATGTTTTTCTAATTGTCTCTCCTCCAGTTTACTTAGGAGCACAAAGCTAAAAAAAAAAGACAACTTCAAAGATGCACCTTTCAGAAAGAATAAATATTTTAACTATAGATCCTTTCTTATGTCAATCCTGGCAAAGAGAATAAGTCCCTTCTGTACACTGGAAAATGCAACATATCTTTTCTCCAGTAACAGTAGTAGCAAAAGAACCTGGAGGTTAGCCGAGTCTTTACAAAGGCTTGATGGTAAAATTACTGCTGTCTAAATTATTCTGCAGTGCGTGGTTTCATTTTGCAGCCATTTTAGGAAAAAGCACTGGTTTATATTACCAACATTAGTTGGCAGCAGAGGAGCGACTTACAGTTTTCTCAATTCCCCTGGGAAATTAGGCTTCCCTCTAGCTGCACTGGGGAACAGACATACACACACACACAAATGCACTCACACATGCCTGCCAAGACCAGCAGAGCCTCAGATGCTTTTATCTTCTTACAGGCAGCGGCTGCCCAGTCTCTGCCATGGCGCTGCAGAGATGTAGCTGGTTTCTTGGACTGGTATCATAGGGAGTGAGAGGAGATGGCAACAGTAATGTGTTATCTTTCATAAACTTTAATAGTTCGATGTCCACTGCCAGGGAAGGGACAATCCAGCCTGAAGAGCAGGGACAGCCAGCCTCTACAAAGGCTTCCAAGTGTACTTGGCTCTGGGAACTCTCCTATAGGGATAACTGGGGCTTGACTTCAAAAGTAGCTGAAAAAAAAGTAGCATGAAAGCCTCCATGGCAGTGGACCTGAGGGGACAGTCTGCAGAAAGGAAGCCCAGTTCCCAGAGAAGCTCTGTCCCTAACACCCACAAATGAGACACAGGCACTTCTGACTGCTACATTGGCCAGCAGCCTAGGCATGCAAACACCTCAGCTGGACCACCACTAATGCTGAATATGGGGTGAAATGTCCCATTTTTACACAATTCCAGCTCAATACACAGTTCTTGGACAGGTGCTTCTTAAAAGCGGAGATTATTACTTTCCAGGGCAGGGGTTTTACTGCTGTGCTGCTGGCTCTTGCGTCACACAGCTCTCACACCTACCTGTGCAATGTTCTGCTCGGAAAGAGAAGCTTGGATGGAGGATTGCTCTGCTCCCTCTGCTCCAACAGGAGGTGTGAATTCAATCCAGGAGTAAAGGCAAGGCCTGCGTGGTCATGAGTTCATGTTGTAATCCCTAAATGCATAAGTGCTCGGGCTCCCACTCTCAGCTTTCTGCAACAGACTCCCCAGCCAGTTCCTGGTCTTTCTCCCATCTGCAGGGTGACATGCCTGGTCACAGCACACACTGGCAGAGGTCAGCTTAGCACCAGTTCTGGGCTGCTGTTCCCAGGGTGCAGGACAAACTCTTCCACCACACTTTGGAGCCCATTATCACTGCCATGTGGCCAGCTCTTGTGCCAGCCAGGTCAGCTCTCAGCTATTGCTGTCATGTCCTGTTAACAGGACACTTACCACAGCACCAGCTCTACAGGGCAAAGGAGATCTCTTCTGAGTACTGCCATCCCTTCCCATTGCTTCTTTGCTAAACTGGACAATTTCTCAATTGAGAAATCTTCTGTACTGCACACAGCATTATAGCGTCTGAAAGATCAAGCAGCAACAATGCTTCATAGCTCATGAGGCAACAGGGAGGAGGAAAATGCTTTAAGTCCACAGTTCTGGAAGTCACTGAAATAATAACTGTATGAGAGAGGCAAGGCTTGTAAGGAGAGGTAGTATTTTTTATTAACAGACTGACACAGCTGAGAAAAAAAGGGACACATTAAGATATAGAAACATGTTTAAATGTGCTGGCTCTACTGTTTAGAGATCTCTTTCCCCCCTAAGTGCTGTAGCTTAAACCTCCATTCTGATTTTGCTACTCTGAGGCATTTAAGCACAAGACACTCAGCAGGTACGAGCTGAGAAAGTGTCAAAATTACAGGAACCAAGAACAGCTGTATGTAATCACAAGTGATCTTCAGAGACCTTATTAGCTTAGACCACAAGGTCCTTCTTTCCCTGTTTCTCACCAGCCACCCAATACAACACTTTTAAGAGCCAGCCAGATTAACAACTTTCCCAAACCTTGGGACTAGGCAGCCACACTGACTCCACTCCTGCTAAATCAGTCTCCAAGGTGTTGGCTAAAATCAGGGACTGCAAACTGCCTCCTCTCTCACCTCTAGTAGGACTATTTACCACTGTGAGTCTCCAGCAAAGCAGCAGACCTCCACTCTTAACACTGAGTGGGTTTGCCACCACATGAGAACTGCTGTTGACTGTGGCTGGGCTAATGTAGTTTATTTACCATGTCCAGCATTATTTAAAATAAGCACACATGCAAATGAAATTATCCTCTCTTTCCAAAAGACACATTTAAAAACACACATTTCTATGCTTTGTGAAAGAGGATGGGAGTTTCACCAAATGTCAGAAGTACTCCATAGAGACAAAATTATGTGGGAAAGGGGAATCAATTTTTACTAACTTCTCTTTCACTGCCATGCTACTTCGTAATTTTCACTGCAACCTCTAATATCAGATGCATTCTCAAAAGTCATGGGAATTGTCAGGGCAAGTATATTTAGCCATATCCCTTTGGGTAGGTGGGGGAGGAAAGAGACCCCTAAATAGCTGTAAGATAACAATTACTGCAAACATATTTGCTTAGAGAAAGTTTAGTCAGAGTTCAGAGAAAAGACAAGCTCTTGGCAGCTGGATAGCCAATGGCCAACTGCTTCTTGAGCTGTCCCTACAAACCTTTACTCGAGGAGTAGCCTGCTTAGAAGAGAAACTTTTCTGCTTTACTTAGGTCTTCACCACATGCTCTAAGCACTCCTCAGTGGAAAAGAAATGCTTAAAGAAGTGGCAAACAATCCAGAATTCTCTCCCCTCTTTAACAAAAAAGTCATATCCAAGCTCTCCATAACAGAAAGCGTCTTTTACATGGGGGGGGGGGGGGGGGGAGAATTCCCACTGTTCACAATATTGCAAAAGAATCAAGAAAGTCCACAGCACTTTAACAGACAACTGAAAATGTCCTGGCTTTCATTCAGCTGCAATGTTAATGGGAGTGGGCAGAACCCTCCCCCACAGCTGCAAAAGAAAACTGTGGGATTCAGGCTGGAAAAGTAGCAGAGGGAGGATGTGAACGTTGTTATAAATAAAACTTATCGGACAACAAATGAATCATGAGAATGTTATCTGGTTCAACAGGAGTGTGAAAACAAATAGGCATTTCAAGAGGAGGATTGCTAGCAAGGTAAATAACTACAAAATAGCAGGAAATGACCAAAGAAATGTACCAGGCTGATGGCAGCAAACAGAACTCTCCCAAACAGCAGATTTCAGTGTCACCTCTGTGCAGCGCCACCACCCTTCACCCAACTGTGTGGTCCTGCTCCCACCCACCACAGCCCTAGCCACGGAATGACAAAAGACTGAATAGAGGTGCACAGGACATTTAACACGACCCAGTGTTTATTGACTGCTGCCACAGTTTTGTTTTTGTGTTTGATTTTAATAGTAACAGGAACACAAAATGTGATGCATTGTAAAATATTACTGGGGGTTCTATATCGATCTGATGCAAAGTGCCAGCATTGTTGACCAGCATACAACCTGACAAGAGAAGATGTAGTCATAACTCACTCTCAGATATCTGCTGGGAGTACATCACAGTCAAAGTAAAACTAGTTATTTGCCTGCAAATAGATACATTTTCTTCTATATGCAAGTGGTGTTAGAGCCAGCTATTTTGCAACAACAACAAATATATATAATACATTCCAACATTTTAAAAAATAGGAAAGGATTAAAACTTTTAAAAAGAGAAGGAAAAAAAAAGAGTGGGTCATTTTAGATACTACTTTGCAGAGACCATTCCTCATAGAAGCAGAAGTAATCTAGAGAAAGGAAGATTTATTAGAGGCTACTTTGCTCAAAAGGCCAGTGGTTATAAGTTTAAGAATAAAAATAGTCTCTAGATTTTCAGCACTGTCTCCTGGCCTTTTATTCCCTGCACAACAAAATCCACCTGTAAGAAACTGTGGCCTGGTGGCTCTGCATATTTTTCCAATGCAATTACACTTGGAAAGGCAACCATATTTCTCATAGAGCCATGAAAATCTTAAATGACACACACGTGTGGCAAGTAACATCTTCATAGATATGAATGATGAAGGCACATTATCTAAAGGTTGAGGGAAAAAAAAACAAACAGCAAAACTTTCAGAGGTCTAAAATGCCTTAGAGAAACCACTCTTCTTCACAACTTGGTGACAAGTGCTGTTTAGCCAGATGTTTCAAACAGTTTGCCACAAAGACAAAACACAAGGAAGGGAAAGTCTCCTTGAAATGCCCTCCCTACAGCAGCAACCTGCTTCTCCCAGAGTTCTTCAGAAAAAAATCATTCTTGCAGAACAGCTTGCAACAATTCCAGAGACAGACAAGAGAAACCTGTGTAGAAAACATCAAGCTTGTGGATTCCTACATGACCAACACCCCTTCACCCCCATTAAACTACAGCATCTTCAAGGAGATCATCCCACTGATCTGGAAACAGGGTAAAGGGCTAGAATAGAGAACTGAGAACTGTTTGCAAACTCCTGTGCCCTCAACTTTTTTTACTTAATTATATGTGTTAATAAAGAAAGGCTGCTCTCTGCCACAGAATAATTGCTTTCTGCTCTACCTAGATCAGACATATATTGGCTAAAAATGAAAATGTGTACTTTATTTACAATAAATGAATCTATACTGCTCCATGCTTTACCCACCACACACATGTTGCTGACCACTGCTGAAGCCAGGTGGTAGCACCAGTGGTAACTGAAGTACCTTTCTTTTTCAACCTTTCAAACCCACCGCTTTGCTCTTCTGCTGTTCTAGGCTCCAGGGAGATGTGTACCAGCATCTCTTTCTAGTGCATGTTTTTAAGGTTACAGTTTCTAACAGCAAAGCAAGCCTTGCTCTGCTCTGGTTTAGCTGTCTTTGCCCCTTTTAAAATCGTGTAGAAGAGTTAAATTTACATGCCATTTTCAACTTTGCATAGCAATAGAAAAGGTCAGCTTTCCCCACGCACCCCATTTTTTAAATAATAATCCTGTGAGCCCCCCATTTCAACACCTCCCATCTTTCAGAGGGTTACCTCACTCTCAGGGAAGAGCCTCAACTCTTTCTCCTCCCACATGAACATTGCAGAATGAGAATTTCAAGTTATTGTCAAGTTTTGTTCAAGTCTATGTTGTGTTACTTAGAAGCAACTGTAGTAGAATAATATTTTTCCTAACGTTAAAGGACATTTATCAGATTATTCACCTTTTTCTAGTCTTGAATTGTAAGAATATATGTCACATGTTCCCTCATATTGCTCTCTTAAGGTGCATAATGGTCAGGTAGAAGTCCAGCCCATAAGACCATAGCTGGATCTCTGGGAGAAGCCAGAGAGAATGAGGGGTTTCTTAGCACTACTGTACTTACATTCAAAATTCAAGGACAGGCTGAAGGATGCCCAGCTCTTTTTTTTTTTTTTTTTTCTCTCTCTCTCTCTGAGAGAGAACTGCTAAAAAAACCTCCACTTCTATTAATATTTGTTATGTCATGAAAGTTTTGGGGTCTTTTTTCTGTCCTAAGCAGCCATTACCCTTCTGTTACTGATGTTTAATAGCTGCCATTGCACACTACCTTTTCATTCCCCAGCTCAAGTGCAACAGAGCTAGCCTGCAGACCCATCACTACCACAACAGCCTGGCTTTGTATGGTGAAGTGGTGCAGGGGCTGGCGGTTCAGACAGACCACTTTTCCCACTGCAGGCTGGTGGCACAGCAACACAGGGCACTGAAGAGGGCGTCTGTCTGGAACATTTAGTAGGGTCTGACACACACTCAACTCGCATTCATTTTTGTCTTGTGCATTAGGTTGAGAACAATTATGTGAGTCATAAATACATCCACTGCCAGCTCCCAGCTTCATTAACAGCTATTCTGAACTGCATAGTAAGTGCTGGTCACAGAAGCTTAGGCAGACTGAAGATAGCTCACCAGTTACTCTTTGAGTCTAGTAAGTTAAAAAAAAATGAGACAAAAAAAAAAACAAAACCTGTGCTTTGCCATTTGAATAACTGATCTCACAGCTTGGGCACAGCAGAAGTAGTTATCTGGTGTGACAGATCTGAATTGCTGTTTCATGTAAATTACATACACATGCGAAGTTAAACAAGTGTGTTAACTAAGGATAAGCAGCACAGAAATAAAGTCTAAGTTACCCATTATTTATCATACACTTGTCAGACAGCCAGACATACTTTTCCTTTCAGGTTCATGCCTGTGTCGTACAAAACATAGTAGATGGAGAAGTCATGAAAATAACACTTAACTCTATTTATCATTGGCCTTTAGTGCTAACACGTTGTGTGCCATCAGTCTTCCAAGTTCACCAAACTTTTGGGAGAAAACAGCTCCTTTACCAAACCATGAAAATACAACCCATCCCACTCAGAACAGGAAGGAAATGGTTTTACAAAGTTGTGGACAGATGCATAACTAAGTCCCCCTCCATCCTGGGACAGAAAGGACAGTGCAACTGCACAGCTAGAACTTGACTCTTGAAAAGCAAACAAATTCCAGGAAATGCAATGACTGTGCAGACAAAAATTTGTTTGGAAAGTCATGCTATCAAAAAGCTGAGCCAATGCTCTGCACAGCAAAGTGATGAGCAGTACATGAACAGGCCCACAGGGAACAGACCATAAGATGACACTCTACAAAGATCCAATTTAATTTCAGATTTCCACTATCTTTCCTTGCCCATTAGCAGTCTGCCACAGATTTTAAACTTGTAAAGCTCCTTTCCATTGAGCTAGATTCCCCCCCAACATAAAGTGCAAATAAGACTCAGTATTTTATCACTAGTTCCAAAGATTGTTACCTTGGCTACAAGAGCGATCAAAAGCCAGTTGGCTGAGCCACTACTTATTGATACTCTTTTTTCTTACTCTTTAACCCTGGTTACTTTTTCCAGCAAAAGGCAAATAGAAAACAAGTGCTCCTTCTGCCAGATACACACATGACAGAAGGCTGCCGTAAGTACCATCAGTGTAAGATGCACATGCTAGACACAACCAGTGTGTTCTCGTGCATAACAAGAATTTGCCCTTGTTCGCTGGAAATGGAAGTCATCTTTGGGATCTTATTTCCTCACAAAGAGCTCAGGAACAGTTATTAGTCTTCATTAAGAGGTGCTTCTCTCTTCCTTGCATCTGCATTGAAAAGACAAAAAGGAGAGGCTGTTAAGCCAAGGGTTCTGACAGCATTCATCTGAAAAGTCAGAAACAGAATAAAGTTAGCTTGTTTTCAGTGGACAGCACTCTCCATCTCACACTCATGATATAAATTCATTACATGGAGTGCAATGCTGTATGAATCCACAGCATGTTAAGGAGACAGTCATATATATCAAAGTTTTGTATATTTGCCCTGTTGAAACTGAAGACAATTCATGCAGTATTTAAGTAGACTAAGAAACATTCAGATTCCAGATCTGCTATATTTACACACACACACACACTCATGGCCCCTTGCTCATGATCCCCTTGTAAAAGGGTGAAGCCAGTATTTGCTTTGCATAGCAGCTACAGAGATGACAACAGCCAGCTCTGAAAAGCATACGACTAATCGCAACTTTGCTGGTCCCCAGCTGCACAGCACGTACCTTAAAAAAGACCAGTGCGCTCCACACTGTATTTCTGGAACTACTTGAAGCAGTCCCTGATCTTAGTCTGCTTCAAACATCAAACCTTTGAGCATGGCCCCAACTAGGGTGTTGAAACACATATGGACAACTTAGTCCATTACTCATATGCCATTACTACAACAGCAGGCAGTATGGCTGCCATCAGGAAAGCTGGGGTCACCTCTTTCCAGGGCTTCTGCAGAAGTGCCTCTGGGCTGACTTTCAGTCACCTGTGAGACCTAGTTGAATGTATGTACGTTCTGAAGTGCAACATAATCACAGCTACTCTAGCAATTGCCTGCCAAAAGATGCATTTATTTCTAAACTTATTTTCTTCCCAATTCATAATCTATACATTCCCAGGTCATTATGAATATCCCCACTCAGAAAACTACTTGTAAATTAAAGACAAATCACTTTCGCATTACTGCAGGCCCCAAATGCCGTTCAGTAAGCATATTGCAAATAGGCCCTACTCAGCCAGAATATTTTGAGAACATGATGCTGAAACTGTTTGTGTAAGTCTCATGACTTTGTTGCTAAACTAATTTTGGAGGAGACAAAATATGCTTCCCAAACAACAAGATTTGCTTAGGTCTCCTCAAGTGACTGCAAGAGCCACATAGGGTGGGAGAAAGCTCAGCAGCCATTTGCAACACAAATTGGAAACTGCCTCTCCTGTTTTCTCCCCCCATCACACTCATGAGGAATACTGAGGTTAGGGCTGACTCTTCCTGTCACAACTTCTCCAGTTTGCATAAAATAACTGACTAGTGGTTAGAGATGAAAAAGCTTTCTAAAAACGAATGTCATAACCCATCTAACTACAGAGTTATTCCTAGTCTGTCTCCGACTTCAAAAATATCAAAATGCATTAAATTCTCGCTGGTGAACACTTATAAAACAACCATACCGGTTAAGTTCCTGAACTTCTTTTTGGCTTCTGCTCTTTCTTCGGCATCAAAATACCACACAGTCATGGCATATCTATAAAAGAAAGAAATCTTGTGTTTGTTTCAACTTTTGCTATTAAAATAGTTTTATGCTTATGGAGAAAGCAAACAACAAACCTGTATTAGTAGATAAAAAATAGGATTCAAATAGCACATCTTTATAGATAAATACAGAAAGCATTTTAAATGTGGATTTTATCATCAAGTAAGATAGAAATATAGGTGAGAATTTCTGCTTAGAGGCACAAAAGATTGCACAACTCCTGGTAACAGAGGACAAAAGTAGCTTACAGACCTTTGCCTGGTTTTCTGTTCTGGGATGCCTGTAAGCAACTTGGGGGCTGCCCTGCATCACATTGGCTTTTCATAGCCTGTTGACAGAGGGTAGCCTTAAGAATCCCTATAAGCATTACAAGGGCAAAAGTATAACCCAGCATCTCCCAGCTAAATAGCTATGCCTGGCTTGGAAGATTTCTCCTGTCAACAGTAAAACGGCTTTTTTTCCCACCACACAAGGAAACTTATCATTCAAGCTTGCTCTTCCTCATTTGAAGAGAGAACTTCCAGTGACTCAAAACCAGAAAATCCACTCAAAATCTATCCAACTATTTCTTACACACATGCATGGAAAAAACAAAACAAAACAAAACAACACAACCCTGGCCATAATTTTAGATACAGATACTGATAGAACAGATGCTTTGTTTTTCCCTGGCCAAATGTCAATACTAAATATACTACTTACCTGGTTGCATAAGAAGGCTGAACTTCATGTGGGTTCCTTCGATCTGACCAAAAAAAAAGTAATCTGTCAAAAATCGGCTCAACATCTGCTACATAGGACTTTCCTTCTGGGAATATCCGGAGAATTCCACCATGAAGCTGAAAGAAAAGGAAAGGTTGCTTTTTACACATATTCATGTGAACAATGACTTACTTCTTCTTCATCAGCATCCAACAAATGGGGAATAAACATCTAATGATAACCCAGACAGCTACGCGACAACACTGGAAAACCGTACACTGAATCTCTTGGCCACCTTGATTTTCCCAGTCAGTTTGTAATGTTTCAGCAGAAACATCTGGCTAAAGTAAATGAACCAAGATAAAAGACAACACTGGCTCTGTAACAAGCACTGGGAAACCTTGGAGCTCCAAGTCACATCTCCAGAACCAGTGAATACCACAAGGCAGGTAAGGCTGCTCCACCTGACCAGACTGAGATCAGACTCTCCTCCCAGCTACTGCTAGATACTGTTTAGGATATTTCAGTGCCTGCATCTGACCATGTAGGAGTTAACTTTAACACCCTGGGAAGAGTGAAGTCTGTTCTATTGCTGGATTTGTAATAAATTTCTCATAAATGTATTATATCTGCCAGACAGTGTTTTCCCCACTTGTGACATAGCCTAGTTTCTCTACCATCTAATTTCTTTTTCGATGTGCCATGAGTTTTCAGAGAAGTCCGGTGATTTGCACACTCTGCAGAAACTTCAAAAGATGCAGATGAACTCTGCCTTCTTCCTGCTGCTGTGAGAGGGCTCTTTGTAGGCTTTTATGCTGCACCACATAGTGCAGGGAAGATGCTGTCACACAGTACCAAACTAACTTCGTACCTCCATATGGCATGCAAACCTCAGCAAGAAACTATTAGATCAGGTTTCATAGAATCACAGAATGGTTTGGGTTGGAAGGGACTTTAAAAATCATCTTGTTCCAACCCCCTGTCATGGGCAGGGACACCTTTCACTAGAACAGGCTGTCAAAAGCCCCATCCAACCTGGCCTTGAACACTTACAGGGATTGGATCCACAACTCCTCTGCGCAATCTTTCAAATGTCTCACCCCGCTCACAGTGAAGATTTTTTTCCTAATGTCTAATCTAAATCTACCCCCTATCAGCTTAAAGCCATTAATTACTCCTTGTCCTGTCACTACATGTCCCTCCAAAAAGTCTCTCTTCTGATTTCTTGTAGGCCCCCTTTAGCTACTGGAAGGCTGCTACAAGGTCTTCTAGAGTCTTCTCTTCTCCAGGATGATTTGATCAAGCCCACTCTCTCAGCCTGTCTTCATAGGAGAGCTGCTTCAGCCCACCAATAGTCTTTGTTGCCCTTCTCTATATAAGGCAACATGGTTACTTTCAAAGGCCAGTATGCATCTCCTTCAGCATACATTTGCATAAAATTGCCCTCATACCCATAAAATACTCTTCACCAGCATCCTGGATTTCAGTCTGGACTTCTTAGTATCCACTTGTGTGCTTTCTCAATGTTAGAATAAGAGCACTACACAAAATAAACTGGATATTTACATTTCCTCCCACATCTCCTTTTTCATTTTATTACATTGAGATGTTTAATTGTCATACTCTCAGTAAAGGAACGTGTTTTTCAAACAATGTATTTTTAGTGGCATTGCCTCTGAATCTGAACTCACTTTTGGGGTTTCACAGTATTTACATATGCTTAAAGAGCCTTGATGTGGAGGCTAAAGTGGCCAAGACAGGTTAGAGAGAAAAAAAACATTTGGCAAATTTCAATAGATAACCCATGTGAATGGTTTGTGCCACATTATGACAACAGAAGCGTAAAGAGACATCCTGTGATTCCACAAACCCGTATTTTGCTTCTAACATAAAGGTATAGTAAATTCAAGGCTGATTTTTCTGCTTTTAGTAATTAAGGTAGAATTAAGAGCACCACCCTGTCAGGAGACCCGCTGGTGGAGTCAAAGATGAAGAGGACAAACCATATGCTTGCTCCTTTTACTAAGCTCCATCACTTCTAAGTAAGAAAACCACAAAGGCAACTGCCTGAAGATCTTCTGCAGGTCAACCTGAAGGAATGGTACCAAAAATGCTGAAGTCCCAAATTTAGGCTGTCATTTTATTCTGCTCCCATTATCCACTTATTCTTTAGCAAATTATGTTTTTCTTTCCAGTGCTTCATTGCTTTTTCCTCTAAACAAAGCAAAAGAGCCAGCAGCCCAATGCTTAGAATCTTTATTCTATAGCAACAACACTGTGTGGGATGGGAGAGAGAATGATAAGGCAACAGTTCAGATTCTTACTTCCAAAGGGTTGCCATAAACACCAAGAAAATAAATGTAGAGATGGAGAATGGACCAGCTATTCAAAAGTTCAGAGTTCACAGAAGCAACTGGCAGCACCAAAGCTCTGCAGTTTTTCCTTCTGCCTGTGGTTTACTCACCTTGGAGTCCCAGTTCTTATTCAGGTAATAAATACAGGTGATGCAGCGACCATCGCCATTTGGATTGTCCACATGACGAACATACCCAGTTCCATTTCCAGGATAGCAAGCAACCATAGCCTGAATAAAAGATACAGATTGTAAAAAAAAATAAGTTCTGCAAGATGCCTACCTCCACTTTGCCAAGTATCCTTCCACCACCAATCTGGTTTGGTATTTTTCAACAATGAACCCAAAACCTACAGCAGACACCACCAGAAAGTATCTTTGCACAAGCTTCTTTCACTGGATGAGTAAGCCAGTGTGAAACTCCAAACTGGAAATAAATATACTTCATATTTCACTATATGTATCATTAAAGTTGGAGGAAAAGAAAAAGAAAAGCACTAAAACACTAGTATGTATGGTACAAGCTTATTCTTTACGAACTATGTGACTGAGGCAGTCTCAGCTAAAGTTTGCTTGGGTTTCTAACAATGAGCAGTCATTGCAAAACTGATTTGCAAGTCTTAATGAAAATAGCAAGCAATCTCAAGATGTCATGCCTTACTACCACCATACTTCTCTATACATGTTTTCAGTCCCCATCTAATACATCTCTATGGTACAACACAAAATGAGGGTCCCCAGAAGGTGTGGGTAAAAGTCCATAGAGCAAAGTCTGCAAAAACCTGCAGCTCCTTTGAACTATGTTTGCACAGGGCAGTGCGTGTTTGCTTTCACAGACTGAGCCACAGAACTAACCAAACAGCTTTCAGACACATACTTCTCTCTTTGATCATCTTCAGGCTTGCTGATACAATCACTTAATTCACGGGTTGTTTAAATTTCACCTTGAATAATGAGATAAGCCTAACATTAATTACTTCAAACCACATGATGCTCAACAGGTCTTAAGGGAGTTTCTACAGCAAAAACATATTAAACTCTAGTTGACACCATTAGCAACCTAAGCAGGATGCAATGCAAGAGCAGGTGAAACTGGTAGGGATCCAGATCCTTGTCTCAGAATCATTTCTTCACTACTGGAACTACTTAGTAGTGGTACAAGTCACCTGCCATGGAGTTTACTCTACTAAAGCTGTGATAACAGAAATCTTGTTCCCACTCCTCTGACATCTCCTTTGATTGCTTTCCAGTATTAGCAGAAAGAGTGATGAGATATTGTCTAAGTTCAGTTGAAAAACTGGACCCAGTATCCAGATGTGGTTTCCCCAGGGCTGAGGGCAATAATCACTCCCCTCAGTCTGGCTCCTGTACCTGTTGTCTTGGAAGCTGCTCTGCAGGGACACACTGCAGGCTCATGTTCAGCTCACTGCCCACCAAGACCACCAGCTCCCCTGGGAAGCAGAGCTGCTCCCCAGCCTGGTAGCCCCCCCCCTGCAGCCTGTACTGCTGCAAGGGGCTATTTCCTTCCCAGGGGCAGGACTTTGCCTTTGAATTTCCTAAGGTACCTGTTGCCCTGTTCTCCCCAGCCCACCTTGGTCCTTTTGGTAGCAGCCCTGCCCTTCAGTGCATCAACTGGTCCCACCTGTTTGGTGTCATCTCCCCACTTGATAAGAGAGCACACTACCATCCACAGATAATAGTGGTCCCATGAGAAATCCCTGTGTCCCTCCATTTGTTACCAGCCTCTGGGTACAGCACAACTGATCAGCCAACACCCTCCAAGCCCAACCATCCAACCATATTTTTTTTTACCCATCTAGTTTGCCATCCACCCAGACCATCACATCCTAACTTTGGATACGAGAGTATTGTACGTGCCTTTCCAAGGAATGAAGATGCAACTGTGCAGCACTTGCATGACCTGCCCTCCCTTGGCACAACCTGCCAAGCACAGCTGATAACACCAAAGACTGACTGCATAGGCAAGAGCAACTAATATTTTTATTTAGGGACCCCAGGTCTTGTTTTTTGCTTTCAAGCACACGCTAAAGCCATGCTGCTCTCACAGGACACTGGACCAGCCAGAGTATAGCACACATTGATTAAATCCCAGAGGTAATTTTACTGTGCCAACAAACACCAGCACAGAAGTTACTGCCAGCCAGCAGTGCATCCCTTCGACTCTCTGTTACCAAAACCAAAATCTATTCACAGGAGTTGGCCAGTTAGGACAGGTGTATCGGTACTGCTACAAAAATACTGCTCTACATTTCAAGTCATGCATGAATTGACTTTCTGCCCTCCCCACAAGCACCAGCAGAACAGTACCTGCAGGCAGCACTAAGTCACAAGAGCCTGCTCCTCACTCCAACACCTGAGGCCACAGCTGTTTGAGGGCTGGTGGCCTGCAGGGGCAGGAGATTATGCTGAACAAGAGTAAATACCTTTAATTCTAAGTAATAAGCCCTCTTCAATCATGCCTGGCAGTTGGCTAGGTGCCTTGTCATAGGCCTGTCTGCTCTGCTGTCATTCTTCTGTTACAAACTGTTCTGCAGCTTTATTTATATTTCAATATCAGCCTGATAACAGCGGTAAGGGCCAGCCTACAGCCTAGTGCTGAAACAGGTTTGTTAGGGGCATAAACTGGATGGAAACTGCAAGTCAACTGCACCTGCAATGCAGAATGGCACAACAGATTCAACCTGGGGAAAAATATTAATATAATACCAGAGTATGGTAACGAGAAATAAACGAAATCCTAAAACCACCTCCCCCTCCCCTCTTCCCAGACTAAACTTTACTCCCAATTTCTGCTACATCCCCCTGCACACCAGCACAGGGGACAGGGAATAGGGGCACTCTTCTCTGCAGCAAGCACAGCTGCTGCCAGGATGCTGCACACCTACACCACCAGCACAAGGCCTGGCTCAGCAAGGCTCTGCTAATCATACCAGAGGGATGGTGCATGGTGGGAATAAAACTTTGTCAACTGACAATACCTCCATTTAAGTTGATGTACAACACAAAATCATGGACGCCTTAGAGGAGTCTCTCTGTGAAGTTAGACATTACTCCAAGACCACTGAGCTGCCTAAAAATCAGTCCAATATTACTATTTTTTAATGTGACAATCAAAAAGCTGCTGAAGAATAACAGACTGCAGGCCAGGTCCTTAAAGGGATTTAGGTGCTTTACTTACTATCGAAATCTGGGCAGAATGCCAGAGTTTTCCCTAGCCTCCATCATGTAATATGTTCTCTTAGCAGAACATGTGCTTTGACTCTGAGACATTGATGCATTATTTATTTATTTATTTATTTATTTACAGTGTGTACCTTTTGCATCTGTAGTGCACAGAGTCCCTGGGGATGAAGAAGTAGAACAATTCCCACAGAATTCAAAAGCACTGGCCATGCTCTAGATTAACTTTAAGAAAAGAAGGGAAAAAAAAAGTTTTCTAGTAGCAGCAGCTAAGGGAGAACAGCAGAAGTGAAATATCCTTTTTCCTGGCATGGCGAATATTTGAATGAAACCTTAAACAATTAAGGGAAATCATTCTGGTCCTCCTAGAGCCTGTTGAAATGATATCAAGCTTTATCAGAGCACTGGGTGGAGCAGCTCCACAGCAGATCAAACTGGCCTCAGCAGGGATTCCAGCTGTTAGCACTACTTTCGGATTCATTCAAAGCAAACAAGAAACAGGAGACAGGATATGTGACCCGGACTTAATTTAGTTAACTGGTGAACACTGGTATTTGCCAGCTTAGTGCACGGGCCAGCTACAAAAGCCAGAGGCTGGATCATAATAAGCAAACCATTTACCAGGTGAGAAAGTGGAGTGTCAGTAAAAATTATTTCCTATAGTTTCCTATTGTATCCAGAAGAGCACACTCTGGCTTTGGAAGAATCTCCCTTGATTAACCATCTCCAAACCTAAACTAACAATAGCCAGCAGTGATAACCAGGAATGTACCCTACTTCTTTATTTCCAATACAATCCATTATTACCCATTACAATGGCTGTTAGTTGGCTTAAATCCTCCGTGTGACAACTCAAAGCAAGTTTCAGCAACACTGCCCCTCCTCACCCCCCAATACTTAAAGTTAAAATACATGAGTTTGTCTTTAACTGTTCAGCCGTTGTTTAAGATTGACACACAGATGCACGCCTTTGCTGTTGCACACACACATGCCATAGCTTGAAGTCCAGTGCTCTGGTGGTCTAGTTGACTGTTATAAATTAAAGCCTACAAAACTTGGAAAATGAAAAGCAAATCACTAAGACTGCAGTTTCTGCACTGTCATTTTTAGATATTAGGTTTCCCAAGAGGGTGCAAATCAACCACCAGTTAAACAAGCAGTAATTACCAGCTTTAGTAAGGAGTCAGGAATCATCAGTAAATTCCACATTGCACAGAAGCTTGCAAAAATAAGTTATTCATCATTCAGTTCACACTCAAGTCAGCCAGAGAACTCTGAAAGTCAAACGGCAAGACACCAGCAAAGTTTGAAGGCAGATAAAAAAAAACAGCTCCATAGAGAGGGCTTTCCCTGCCTCCCAGTGCTTCTAGAAAGGGGAAAAAAACAAGTTCCCTTAGCTGATAGCCAGGACCATGCTGTGAGGCACCATTCGGCTACATTTCATAAAATAAGCAGAGCTGGAATGGACTGATACTTGGAACAAAATGCCGCAGAGAATACCTCAGCTAGAAGAGGCTCATAAGTAGAAACAAACACTGCTTAATAGGAAGCAGTGATGACAGGCCAGAAGGAGATGCTACCTTCGCCTGCTAGCGCTAAGCAAGGGCCCCCATGCACTCCTAGCGCAGACTGTATAGGTGGTATTGTAACCTATACCGATCCTGTATTTTCTTCTCAGAACTAGTACGACCTTTGTAACCAGCAGAGAAAATTCTGACCCGCATAACTATCCTACCAACACCAACCACCCTTACAGACTAAGCTAAAGACTCCATAATGTTTTGCCATTTCCTGTACCAGATTTGTCCTGTATAGTGCTGAACAGGTACTAGTTTTGATCCCTGGTATAGATTATCTCTGCATACAGCTTGTACATCAAATAGTTAAATTCAGAAATTACTTGTAAAGTCTCTTAGATGACAGGTACTATACAGACACAAAGCAATACTGACCTACGATACCAATATTATAGTTATCTGGAAAACCAAGGTATTAATAAGAATTAATGATGCTATAGCCACTGCAGCTTT